GAGGATAGGAGGTGGAAAGGAGGCTGGCGGTGAGTGGGTTGGGAGAGGAGAGGAGGTTGGGGATCTGGATCGGGTTGGGAGAGGAGAGCAGGTTGGGGTTCTGGATTGGGCTGCGTGGATTTTTTTGAGACAAACGGGGGGTTGGTGGTGTGGGACGGTTGGTGCCTTGGGGTGGGAGTGGATCCGGGGGTGGTTGGTGTGCGAGTATAGTAGTAGCGCGGGTGTTTCACCGTGCTACGGCTATCCATATAGTAGTAGCGCATGTTTTACAACCCACGCTACTACTACGGCTTGTTCGTGGGGCATGGTTGGAGATATTTACTAGTAGCGTGTATTTTTTTGTCACGCGCTACCAGTAATATTTACTAGCAGCGCGGGTCAATATAGCACGCTACTAATAAGTAGCAGTAGCGTGGGGCAATATAGCGCGCTACTAGTAAGCGACTGTCTATAAGCTTTTTCCTAGTAGTGATCGGTTAGTATCGATTGAACCTAAGTTTTTGTTTCTTCACATGATGTGTGCTATTCTTGGAATGTTATTTTATTTTGTTTATGCTTGCTGTTTTAATAAAATACTTAGATATGAAAGTTTTTAAATAAAAGAGAGTCCTCAATTAGCTACCTATTTACTTAACTGCTCGCTTGATCTTCACTTATATCTTTTTGGAGTAGTTTGTCATTTACTCTTGTGCTTCACTTATATCCTATGAGTAAATAGTTGAATAAATTGAATGTCATGAAGTTGAAAGCATATAATGCCTAGTGGGAGCTTCACATTGGGTTTAGAAAGTGAAATCTTTTGAGGCTTGACAATCACAATATTGGTCATACAAGCAATTCACGAATAATTAGTATAAGGAAGAGAACTTTCACATGCAAATACACTATCATGGAAATCTTTTGTGATTGTGAGCCCCCATCAAAATATTATATGCCAAAATTATTGACGTTGGACAAGGAAGACAATGTAATGATTTATATTTGCTTATATTCACATAGAAGTTATATTGTCATAGATCCTTCAACATGTGGTGCTTGCCCTTGCTAGCCAAAAATTCCACACTAAGTAGAGATATTACTTGTGCATCCAGAAACCCTTAAACCCAAATCTTATTTTCAAGAGTCCACCATACCTACCTAAGGATTGAGCAAGATCCTTCAAGTAAGTTGTCATTGGTGCAATAAGGCAATAAAAATGCTTCTAAAAGTGTTAGATCATTTAGTGTAAGAGAAAAATTAGCGTTGTACGAACTTATGATGGCAAAACAATAAAAGCAACAGACTGCATAATAAAGGTTGCTATCATAATGGGCAATATAACGTGACGTTCTTTTGCACTAAGGGATCGAGCATACAAACAAATAAGCGCATGGCAACCTCTGCTTCCCTCTGCGAAGGGTCTATATTTTACTTTTCAGTATTTACTTTTATGCAAAGAGTCAAAGTTTTTCTCTCTATTCCTTTTTATTTTTCTCTTTTGGCAAGCATCATGTGGTGAGGAAAGATCTAGGCACATATGTCCAGTTGGAAATGGGTAGCATGAGATATTATTGTTGACATCACCCTTGAGGTGAATATGTTGGGAGGCCAAACAATAAGCCCCTATCTTTCTATGTGTCCGGTTGAAATGTTTTGCTCATGTGTATGCGGTGAGTGTTAGCAATCATAGAAGACTATATGATGGTTGAGTATGTGGAGCTCTTAATTAAACTCTGTTGAATAAGTTGAATTGCAATTGCTTGGTGACTGAGAACATAGGTTGTTGAGTTTCAAGAGAGTTCATTGTTTGAATCTTAACATGTGAATTGGTTGCTACTATAACATGAGAAGTTTTATAAGAAAGAATTGCTGCTATGATGCTAGAAAAAGTGATTGAAATTATCATTGATCATGCACTTTGCTAGCATTCACACTTCAAATTATTTCTTTTATCATTTACCTACTCGAGGACGAGTAGGAATTAAGCTTGGGGATGATGATACGTCTCCAACGTATCCATAATTTATGAAGTATTCATGCTGTTACTTTAACATTCTTGGGTGTTTTACAATCATTTTATAGCAACTTTATATCATTTTTTGGGACTAAACTATTGACCCAGTGCCCAGTGCCAGTTGCTATTTTTTGCTTGTTTTTTACATCGTAGGAAATCAATATCAAACGGAGTCCAAACGCAATGAAACTTTACGGAGAATTTTTTTGGACCAGAAGGAACCCAATGGGCTAGAGCTGCACCTGGGGGTGCCCCGAGGGGGGCACAACCCACCAGGGCGCGCCCTGGTGGGTTGTGCCCACCTCGGTGGCCTCCCGCACCCCCTCTTTGCACTATAAATTCCCAAATATTCCGAAACCCATCGGGGTTAACCTAGATCAGAAATTTCGCTGCCGCAAGGCTCTGTAGCCACCGAAAACCAATCTAGACCCGTTCCGACACCCTGCCGGAGGGGGGAATCATCTCCGGTAGCCATCTTCATCATCCCGGCGGCCACCATGATGGGGAGGGAGTAGTCCACCCTTGGGACTGAGGGTTTGTATCGGTAGCTATGTGTTTGATCTCTCTCTCTCTTGATCTATATCATGGGCTTTGTTAATATAGTCAGATCATGTGATGTTTCTCCCCTCTATACTCTTGTTATGATGAATTGAATCTTTACCCTTTGAAGTTTTGTCTTGTTGGATTGAATATTCAGAGATGAGAACACATGATGTATGTCTTGCGGTATGAATACTTGAGGTGACAATTGGGGTATCATACTAATTCACTTGATGTATGTTATGGTATTCAACTTGCGGATTCCCAAGGTGACGTTGGGGTAATCTATGCATACAGGTTGATGCACGTTTTATTATCTTTTCTCCGATAGAAACTTTGGGGTCTCTTCGTAGTTCTTTGTGTGGATTGAGTATTATGAATATGAATTTGCTTTGGTGTTATTCTAGTACAAACTCTAGGATAGATCGAACAGAAAAAATAGCTTTGTGTTATTTTAGTACGAACTCTTGAATAGATCGAACGGAAAGAATAGCTTTGGGGTGGTTTCGTGCCCTACAAACAATTCCTATCTTTTGTTCTCCGCTAATAGGAACTCGGGAGTGATTCTTTATTGCACTTTGAGGGATAATCATATGATCCAACTATGTTAGCATTGTTGAGAGGTTGCACTAGTGAAAGTACGGACCCTGGGCCTCATTTTTAAGCATTGCAATACCGTTTTTGTGCCCGTTTACTATTTGCTACCTTGCTGTTTTTATTTTTTCAGATTATAAAATATATTTTTACCATCAATATTACACTTTTATCACCATCTCTTCGCCGAACTAGTGCACCTATAAAATTTGCCATTATATTGGGTATGTTGGGGACACAAGAGATTTCTTGTATTTGGTTGCAGGGTTGTTCGAGAGAGACCATCTTCATCCTACGCCTCCCACGGATTGATAAACCTTAGGTCATCCACTTGACGGAAAATTGCTACTGTCCTACAAAACTCTGTGCTTGGAGTCTCAACACGAGTCTACAAGAATAAAGTTGCATAGTAGACATCAACTACTAGGGGCAGCAATCAGAAGCGCAGCCCACAATTAGGAAACAGGTTCATCTGCATGCTCCAATATGATGAAGCACGAATGCTACACATGTTTTATGCTATTTTACTTGAGAAAGAGCAGCAGGAGTGATTAGCTAGCTAGAATGAGTTTGAAGATGATGATGTGCTATACTATGACTATGATGATTAAATAGCTAGTGTTGGTGGTAATGGCTATGATAATTATTATTAGCTAGTGTTGGTGGTGATTAGATAGCTACCGTAGCTAGTGTTGGTGGTGATTAGCTAGCTAGAATGAGTTTGAAGATGATAATGTGCTACACTATGACTATGATGATTAAATAGCTAGTGTTGGTAGTAATGACTATGATGATGATTAAATAGCTTGTGTTGGCGGATTAGATTCAAGTGGAGGCAAACCACATGTTGCCTCCACTTGAATCTAATCCACCTTAGTATATACAACAGTGTGAAAGATGGATTAGGTTCAAGTGAAGGCAACATGTGTTCACACTATTGTATATACTAACTAATTAAGGTCATAAAATCATATGATAAAAGTACTGCATATAAAACATATACAAATACGACGAAAATAAGCTGCAATTAAGAAAAAATAGAAAAACTAAGCAGTGGCGCTTTTTAAAAGAAACGCTACTGCTACTTACCTCTATCAGCGGCGCTTTTCGAGAAAGAGCGCGACTGCTAACTAGGTGTATCAGTAGCGCTAGTAGACCAACAATACTGCTACCAGTTAGCTGTAGTGTCTTAGTGGTAGCGCTTATACAAGCGCTACTAATAGTTCTAAAACCAGCGCTACTATTGGGGTTTTCTCTAGCAGTGTTGCATTTTGTTCTTTGTAACATAGCCTTTTCTTCTTTGAAATATCTGGGTGTAAACTGCAGAAAGCATTCTTGTGATTTGACACTCAGATTAAACTAGGAATACATTAGTCCAGATTCTAATTGCTGCTGCTTTCTATGCAATCTTCCCCAACATGACGAGCAATTTCTCTCCAAATCCTTTGCAGATTTCTAACAGTAAATCTCGCTTTAATTTCATCAACTTCTGTCAATCACATACATAACATGCATACGAGCTAGTACAAGCAACTGCATTCATTGCAGTAGTTCTAGTTAGCTGTTACAACTGTAGTATGGCATGTTCGAGATTCGAGAAGAAGGATTACATATAATGTTGTATGTGACCAGGACACTAGCTATGGATTTTCTTGACTAGAGACCTAATTAAGCCATGTGAAGCTGCGTCCTGATCGACAAGGTTTTCTTCACCATGGAGCTGCCACACCTCCTGATTGGCTGCATCGTCTTGGGCGTCGCCTGCACCAACTGCGTCCTGCGCCGCCGTTTGGCTTCCTCTGCTTCCTGGTAACCTTGGCGGAGCTTGCGCTTCGCGGCTTCCATCTTCTCCTCCGATTAGAGTCCGGCACGGTCACCGTATGATTTCAGCCGACTTCTTGGACAACGGCTCGCCGACGATCTTGGGAGGCCGCTTCGTCTTCGTGTCAGGGTCGGCGGAGACACGCTGCTGCTGCTGCTGGCCGACGGTCGCCTTGGGCTGCAGCAGCTTCTTCCTCGGCATGGCTGCTGTGACCTGGACGGAGGCCTCCCACCCGCTCACGATGCCGCGCGCGAGGAGGCGGACGCGCTCCGATCAGTCGTGCTCCCGCAGCGCGCACACAGAGTCGGCGAGTTCCGTGGAGATGGGCACCCCTGGCGTTGATGGAACCAGCCTCAGCGTCTCGAGAGACTCCCCCATGAAGTCGTCGAGAATCCCGCAGATACGCTCCGCCTGGTCGTCGTCGGCGGCGCTGCAGAGCCGTCCCACCAGGTCTCCCCTCGCGCGCCGGAACACGTGGCGTGAGAATTGGTCTGGATCGGCGGCCTCGATGGCGGCGTCCACGAGGTCGAAGGCGCCGTAGAAGCTCTTCCACCGACGGAGCATCTGCGCGGCCATGGGTGGCGGCGCGAGCTCCTGTGCTCGGTTTTGGAGTGGATGGAGAAGTGGGGAGGAAGGATTGGATGGAGAAATTGGGGGGCAAGGAAGAAGGCGATCGCCTACCACGAGCGCCCCCCATGGAGCTTATATCTCCCGGCGAGGCGGTGACCGTGCTCCAGTCGGACGCGAGCAGAGCGCCGCTCCCGATCGAATTCGGAAGCGCGTTTTGCTCCAGTCGAGTCGGCCGGAATCCGACGACGGCAGCAGCAAGCAAGAGGAGGCTCCACCGTGACCTGCTGCGTGAGGCGAGGCGTGCCGTGGCCACCCCTCCATCGTCAGCTTGCACGGGCACGGCATCGCGCGGAACCCCTGCACCGGGCTTGTCCTGGAGCTGGAGCACGTCGGCCCGAGCCTCGGCCACGTTCTGCGTGGTCGCCGCGAGCCGTTCACTGCGCCGCATCATGCGGCAGCTCCTGAAACTAGTTATATGCAATGGAACTTGTTCCAGACACAACCTTCTGTTACTCTGCACTTTCCTTTGTGAGGGTTTTTTAGATTTTACCACGTGCTGTGCTAGTATGTACTCCCTCCGTCCGGGAAAAATTGTCTCCGACGACATTTTGCGAAAATCACCTCCCCTTTCCTCCGACAAACAACACACTCCCCGCGCCAGAGCCAGAGCTCCCTTGCTCGTCTCCCCCTCGCCGGAGCTCCCCCGCCCCAGAGCTCACCTCCTCTGCTCACCCGCACAGCTCTCCCGCGCGTCGCCGGAGCTCCCTCTCCCCACGCCACTGCCGCGTTGCTTCCCCCCTCCTCGTTCCTCTCATCGTCCCCCCATGGCGAATCACGGCGAGGAAGGCTCGACTTTTTTCGATCTGCTATCCGACGGCGTCCTTCCCCGAGGGCGGCGAGCCGGAGCTTCCCCTGCGCGTCGTCGACCACCTCCTCATTGGCTGGACGCCGTCGACCACGAACCCAGTATTCTCCAAGCGCACGCCGCTGTGTGGGTCGCCGAGACGCCGAGGCCGAGGCGGAGCTCCAGGCCATCGAGGTCGCGTACGCCGCCGAGTCCGGCAAGCGCCGCCAACTCCCAGACTGGTCCAAGGCACCCGCCCCCGCCTCCGTCTGCCCATAGCCCAACCCAGTCCCCTCGCCCCCCTCCTGCCAAGGTGCGGCTCCCCCCTCTTCTTGCCTCCCGCTTTCCCCTCCTTGTACTCCAAAATGCTTCTTTTGAGTACATTAGCTGTCAATTTAGTCTATCTTGAAGCTTGGGAGCTTCTTTAGCAAGTTCACTGTAAAATTGAGTACAAGATCACGGAAAATTTTCTGGAGTGTATGTTCTGCAGTCACTGAATTTTCTCGAGTGCATGTTTACTGAATTTTCTGAAGTGTATGTTCACTGAATTTGGTTTTCAGTAGTGTTAAGAGTTCAAATCAATAGTGCAGGTTCGTGTACATGGCCACCCCCCATGGATATGCATTGGGGCGCTCCTGGGAGAGAGGATTCATGGCCATCCTAGCTAGCTGCTAGGTGGAGAACGTGTTAGGTTCTTGTTGTCCGTGGCAAAAGCTGGGGCGATCGAGTAGGAGTAGCTAGCAGTGTTGATGGTGTGTGGTGTAGAGAACCATGCAGATGTCATGGGCAGGCACTCATAGTCTAAATTTCATTGATGTCAAATTTTATTTATGTGTCAAGTTTGAAATCAACTTGACTGAACATCAACTTGTTCTGGTTTAGTGTAGAATCACGTAAGTAGATGGAGTAGTTATTTTTTATACTCTCACTGAAGACTGTGTTGCTAAATCGACATCAAGTTTAGGAACAAGTGTGTGTTCCTAAATAATCTTCAGTTTCCACTATATTTACTGTCAAGTCTGAAATTTTGATCTTTACTGTCAAGTCTGATTTGTCTCTGAACATTGGTTACAGTAAATTAGTGGTTAACTGGACATAAGGATTAGATCTTAGCTAGTGCTCTTTTCAGATGGCTTGTTCTCAAAATTTGGTACTCCATTAGAGTAACTTAATTCTCAATATTAACCGTTTCAGTTTCTAACAAGTTTCTTCCATGTGTTCTGAATTAAGTACAGTCAATGATCAAGTGATCTCTTCTCCAAGTTGCCTGAAATTGAATCAGTCATTTAGTTAACTTGGATTTTTTTTCCAAAATCTGTACATTTAGTCAAGTTTCTTCCATGTGTTCTGAATTAAGTACACTATGGGATCATTTTATTTTACTGTAGATTTGCTTGCAACTGGTTTTAGAAGTATTGCTCGTTTTCCAATTTATGCTGTTTTTTGATCTTTTATGCATAGTTTTATTAGAAGTATTGCTTGTCAAAAGAGTGTTTAGAGATTTTAGGGCTATGTCTAGAAAATCATACCAAGAGTACAAAAGATGAAAGGAGATCTTTCTTGTTGTGGCCAAAAGAAAATGGATGGATATACGTAATGTAGGAGGATCATGTTTTCAGTGCCTTAGTACACAAAAGTAGGCAAAGTTTCTGTAAGAATATACTTAAATCAAGTTTATTCAGTTAACTAAATCAAGTTTATTCAGTTAAGGACAGAATTATTTTGATCAAGTAATTACTGTGACAACATTGCAACATTGCAACATTTCTTCAGAGTACATGATCAGTTTTGCCCCTTTTTAGTAAAGAGGTGCAGCAACTTTCTGGGATTTCTGAAACTTTAGTCACCGGGACAATATACAGTCACCTGGGAGTCACCTGGGATTTCTGAAACAATACCGCCACTTGGACAATTCAAAACAGTTAACTGAAAGTGTCTAAAACAGTTAAGTGTTTCTGGGATTTCTTTTTTCTTCTGCAAGGCATGATTTCTTTTTTCTTCTTCTTTTTTCTCTGGTGTGTCATGTCTTTTTTTAGACTAAAAGTGAATCAGAGCAAAAATCTTCTATGTCAGTGTGCTAGAAATAAGAAGACAAAATTGGACTAAAATGAATGACTGAAATTGGACAATTGGAAACTTCAGGCATGTTTGCAATTGGACAAATGGTGTATAAATCCAAATAAATCAAATAAATTCAAATGATTCAAATAATCTTAGTTTGCAATTGGAAACTTTAGGCATGTTTGCAATTGGATAAATGGTGCACACTTGTTTATTTCCTCTCTAGTGGCCTAATTCTAGTGGAACTTTGGTTGGTTAGTGCTCTTCTGTTGCTTTTGACTAATCTTAGTTTGACGGACCTGACTTGTGCTCATTTCCAATGGACTTCACATTCCAAAGGAGGGACAGAATCTGGAGTAATTGATTATTTCCAAAATCTGGAGTAATCTTCTCAAGTTACATGATCAGTTGTGCTTGACTGAAAATTTTCACAGGAAAATTTTGACTGGAGTAACAGAGGCATAACAGTACAAATTACAGGTATAGATTGCTCTGTTCAACAAACTTCCTATCAGTCCAACAATGTTTCTGAATCTAAACTTTTTCAGTTAACAGAACCTGAACCTGAACATGTTCAGTTAACAGAACCTGAACTTTTTAACCTTCCCTCTCCCTTTCAGGCGAATGTGGATGTTGCACACTATTGTGAAGGTGTAGCACTGCCCAATTAAATTTCCACTTCACATATCTACTTCAATTTCTACTACAAATTCACCTTTTCAACAGCAGACGTGGGGCAGAGAAGTCAGACGGCGAGGATGAGCAGAAGCATCAGACGGCGAGGAGGAGCAGAAGCATCAGATGGCGAGGACTCGATCTGGGGGCGTTGGCTTCGCCCAACAGCTGCAGCATCAGAGGCTGGAGGGAATCGCGGCGGCAGCAGAAGGAAGCGGCGGCCGGCGACTTGCCCAAATCCCGCACTGGCGGCCGCGGGCGCGAGGAAGCGGGCAGAGGATGAGGGCGCGGGCCGCACCGGCTAGGGACGCGAGCAGGGCGACGAGGGAGGTGCCTTCAACCGTGGAGGAGGCGGGCGTCCAGTTGGTCGCCGCGGAGGAGCAGTCACCTCCGTGTGGGCGGCGGCGCAGCTCGCCTTCATGCAGGCGGCGTAGGCGGGCAGGGGCGCCACGGATTGGCAGCGGCGGCGCAGCGGCGACGCAGGTGGACGGCAGCGCGCTGGGCTCTACGGTGGCTGCCGACGGCGCGCTGGGCTTGTTCCTGCTGCGGGCGTCTGGAGGAGGAAGAAGCAAAGGGGTAATTAGCAGGAGATTTAAAATCTTAAGGGTTTATTTGCAAAAATCATAATGAACTACGCCGTGGACAACTTTTCCCGGACGGAGGGAGTATGTAGCCGGTCGTGCCTAAGTGACTGTATCTGTGGCTGCAGCGCATGATGAGCTGATATTATACCCAGATGTGAATGCAGAGGAGATGGCAGGGGCAGCACACGACGACGGCCAAATGGATGCCAACTTGTTCTCCGTTGGAAGGTCACGTCCAAAAAGAACAAGTTGGCATCCACCGAGTAATATTATGTTATCTCATATTTTTCACATGATATTAGAGCGGTTAGTCTCACGACGCCGATCGTAGATTTCTCCACCACTTACGCAGCGCGCCGCCCCCGGGGAGATTAATCCCCTCTCCTCGGAGGCGCGGCACCTGGTTGAATCAGTTCCATAGATTAGAAATTTATTTGTTTCCAAATTTCTTAGTAGATTGATTTTTCTTAACCACGAAATAAACCCAACGATCTTCAAATCCAGTGACAATCAATGCGAGATCCATCCAACTATTTTCCACAAACGTCCAACTCCAGACGGCGGACATCGGCATGTACGAGCGCCTCCAGCCGATCTACATCGACACACGGCCGGCGCCGCTCCGATCAGCTATAGCCAGCTTCTTCAACAGCGTCGCGCGCGTACTGCTCACGGGAGGGTGATACTTCTGCGCACGCAATCTCTCGGTAGGAGCAGATCCCATGCGATCCGATCTCGGAAGGCCACCAGAACCAGGCGCCCTGCTACGAGCAGGACAAGATCGGATCTACATGACGGCCGTCCACACACACAGCACGGTGAAACGCAGGACTTCTCCTGCC